CTTCTCGATTTCTGTGAATGTTGAGTAGTTATTTTTTGAACATTTTTTCTTATTGCAAGGGAAACGGATTTACTGAGAAACACATTATTTTGTTACTCCATGCTTATTTAGATTTAATAGTGGAGCTTTATCGCCCTTTTTCAGGTAGAGGAGGTGAATATCTTAGTAACGGAACTTGCAAAAATGACTGCAAAGGAGCGGGCTTTACTAGAACAATGCAAAGATTTCTTGTCTATGATAGCTACGATGCAGGTGAGAAATCACTGATGTGCCTCATTTTTTATATATATAAAAATGTTGGCATTATTCTTCATTCGTGACAATTTTTATAATTTTATTGTCATTGAAACCTATGTTTACAGGTTAAGGACTGTAGTTTGAAAACACACATATTACAACATCGCCGTGTATCAACAAGACCTGTGTAGAACTGATCTTTTATTTTGACCCCAACTCTAAAATTCTAACAACGGTTTGGCCCGGTGGAGGTGACACATCTCAGAGTTGTGTAGGAGAGCACACAAATTCCATGACTCTAATTTTGGCTTCAGTTTTGGAACACTGCCTGTCTCCCCCCCTTGCTGCATGAATATTCCACATGTGATTTTCCTTCTCGCTAATATCTGTATACGTACTCTAACGTATTTCCGGTTACTGCCATCAACTGTCTAGCAAAAAGGCAAAAAAATGTTGTGTATATATCTGTAAAAGCTCTAAATTTTTAGAATGTTGCTGATTGAACGTATTCTTTTGGCATCCATCAATTTGTTAACTGGCGGTTATGGTTAGAAGGGTTTTAAACGTGTGTTCTTTGTGTTGCACTATGATTGTGAATTGATTGAGGGTTTGTAAATCTCAGTATCTCACTATTATTTGCTCAAAATATGGCAAGGAACCAGCACTGGAACCGGATTTTATGGACCGGAACTGGTTCTCAGACCGAGCAATTCTTTTATGGTTTACGATAAACTTGTGATTTGTAATATTTCTCTCCTTGTCCTTGTCTAAAGTTAATAAAGTAAAATTACTTGTGATTTATAATATTGCTCTCCTTGTCCTTGTCTAAAGTTAATAAAGTAAAATTGTGTTGTTAATAAAGTAAAATTGTGTGATTGACATTTGTTTAGAGAAAGAAAGAACAATCACAAAGCTTTTCTTCAAAGGAAAGAGTCAAAGAGATTATGCTTGAGAAAAGATATAGGTTAGTGTAATAAGTATGTTATTCTAATTAGATAATTTAGATTGCTCAAAAAACACGTTACATGGTATAGATACTTAGATGTGCCATCAGTAGTCTAAAGGCACCTTAAGTAAGGATGTGAGTTGCAACCCATGAAAAATGGACACATTAGTTATGTAAACAACCTCTGAAGTTTACGTGGATACACACATTATACATATAAAATGATATTTCATCTCCAACTCAACCTGAGCCTTGTATTCTCTACGTAAAAACTCTTCTTCCTGCCATTAAATACAGCTATTAGGGCTCGGCAAAATTACTGAATCGGCATGGTACCGAACCGGATTGGTATGGTACCGGACTGCAAAACGGGGTTCAAAACGGTTTTCAAAAATTTTATCCCGAACCGAACCGTACCGGTTCAAAACCATGCCATGACCGGTTCTCATAAAATGAGAACCGGTACCGAACCAAACCAGACCGAATTATAATTTTATTAATTTATATAATTAATAATTTATGATTATATATACATGTATACCATATTACCATTATTACTTTGATTACTCATTTGCACTTTGCTAATTGATAGTTCACTGCAAGCTGCCTGCAGGGGCAGATCTTTATAGTGATGAAGCCCAACTCAATTTCTCTTATTTTTTATTATAAATTTAAGTAGAATTTTAAAAAATGTTTAGCACTTTAGCCCATCTAAAAAAATATACTCAAACCCGCATGCCCAAAATAATGCTTCTTTTGGGGAAAAAATGCATTGATTATTTGTGTTTGAGTGGGAAGTGAAGCCTTGGATATCATCCACTGGAGTCTAGAGAAGCCAATGGTGCTTAGAGAGTTGTTATCGTGAACGTTTTGTGATTTATGTTTTGTACTACTATGAAATTTATTGATTACATAATATGAAAATTGATAATTGTGTGGATTTTTGGATGATGGTTAAGCTTAAATTTGTTGAAAAAAGTGGCATTGTTTGGTATTGGTATGACATGGTACCGTTCCGTTTGAAAATGAGACCGTACCGAATGGGTTTAGGTCTAAGACCGAACCGAACCATTTCAATAGTAACGGTCCGGGTACGGGTTCGGTCAAAGCTAATTAGAACAGGAAGGGAAAAAAATTAGAAGCCAAGCTAATTAGAGAAAAATGAAAACGAAATCAATTAATTTGAGAAAGGTCTATCAAAAACTACCTCGGACAAATTCTGGTTTCAAAGTTATACTTGAATTCTAAAAAAATGTTATACATGGGCTGAAATAGATGTCAATGGGCACTATAGTCAGTATTTTTGTTCATATCGTGTTTCCCCTTTTCATATAATTTATCCATCTAATTTTGCATCAGATTGTATTTTGGAATAACTCATATACGAAGTATAAGAAAATTAAGAAGAGAAAGTTAAAAAAAATCATGAATGCTCCAAATTAGAAGATGTGAAGAAATTCTTTGACCTCCAAGCTTGAAGAAGATTTGAGAAGTTTGTTCGGCACTTCGGCGGGGTGAAAGGATTCAGAAAGGCGGAATACTTTCTAGTGTACCCCAAAGAATTAGAAAAAATATATATATATTGCCGAGTCATCTTGTTTAACAGGCTTGCTGAAATGAAAAAGAGCACCACAAAAAATATAGACCGTTCCCTGGGAAAGATATTTTTACTTTAATATCTATTTTGTGTATGTGGTAATGCATTTTTCAGCAATCCATAGTATCATTAAAGATGCTCTAAGTGCATAGTATAAGTGTGTAGATGGCATATTCAACGGATTGTCTTAGTTTTTGTGATACCCCAAAGCCTATTTTCTAAGCCAATATTCAAATGAATAATAATTTGAAGGTCAAAAAGTTACAAATAATAGAGCATGAAGATGGGCTTGTTTGGCAATTAGCGATTAGCGGATAGTGTTAACGGGTTCAAACAGCGGATTGATTCAACGGATTTGACCAGTAGATTAATATGACTGGTTACAAAAGATGTTTCTAAATTTAGTTGTTTGCTTTTAGCAGTTAATAGATAAAGACAAAAAAGGACTTGTATATTTTAATATTTGTTTCTTTGTTATTTGGCTAATTACGGGTTTGGATGTGACTTTTTATACTACGGGTATATAAAATTATGGGCTTGTGTATATTTAAACATATTTATCATTCACTCTTTCAATGTTATTATTGTTGCCATTTTACACCAAGTATATTTGATTTGGTGTGTATATACACAATAATACTCCATATGATATATAAGTATGTACCGTATAATAATAAAAAGGTGCAGGACCCAGAACAATAAAAAAATGAAATAAGCCTCTATTATATTGTTGCTGCTGCTACGGGCCTACGAATTGTGAAGCTTGTTTTTAGGTGATCAGGGGCTAAATGGAATTTTAATATATTATCCGAACTGTTGAGTTCAAACTCCTAGCAACTTGTCAGCAATTGGTGTTTTGGAACAAAAACGTTAATCCAGTCCGCTATTTACCAAAAAACTATGTTCAGTTATTTGATCAAAGTCAAAACTCCAATAGTAGCTGAAACTAGGGCTGTGACCGGTTCAGTTCTTACTCAAAATGAGTGGAATCGTTATAAAAATTTTAACTAACGAAATTTGTTCGGTTCATATATAAAAAATAAAGAACCGTTATGGAACCGAACCGGTAGTAAACGGTTCGGTTCTTCCTTTTACAGGTTTCTAGAATAATTTTTTCTCGTCTAAGAATTAGCACATAATTTTAAACACATCGAAAATTCAAAACACGAGTATTAAAATTTTATTTGAAGCTCTAATCACTTCAAACATCAAATCTCAAACTTAACTAATAAACTTTGAACACTTAATAGAACAAAAGTGATTTAAATTTTCATGTAATAAATCAAACATTAAAAATCGTTGTAGTATCAGAGCGATGAAGATTACTCGTCATCATAGTAGCAAGAGTAGGATGCCTACTTCAAGTCTTTCAAAACATAAAAAAAAAGACATTGAGTTTGCATGTATAGATATAAAAAAACATTATTACATTCTATTGATTCATAATAAATCTAATAATTAGAAATATCATGAAAATAGTAAAGTAAAATATGTGCAATCAACTACAAGTTATTTGGGTTATTTTATATTTATAAAATTTATGTGATGGAACAAAACTTGATTTGTAGAAACGAGTTTAATGTATTATATCAACCTCATGTACAATATTTATTACTTCTTTTCCGTTGATTAAATTAGAATTGTTAGTCAAATATCTTATATTGTTTTATTATTGTTGTTGTGGTGGTGGTTATTATTGCTATTATATTATTATTATTATTATTGTTACTACTACTACTACTATTTTTTTATTTTATTTATTTTTTTAATAACGGTTCCTTAACGGTTCCATGCACATATTTTTTATAGGAACCGGGAAGCGAACCGTTATAACTCGTTTCGGTTCGGTTCCTACAAATGAGACATTAATTGTTAACAGTTCGGTTCCTAGATGTTCTACGGTTCCCGATTCCAAAAATCCCACCCCTAGTTGAAACGCCAAAATGGCTGATCCACCATTATCCAAACACGGCTAATCCCAGCACTTATATTGTTATATGTCAATGCCCATTTATATATTGTTTTACGTCATTCCGAATCCTACATTCCTACCCAAGGCTCAAGCGAATGATATAATGGCAGAGGTAGTAAGATTATCTCAACTACAATGAGGACATGTTTGATATTGTTTTATCTTTCCCTTGAATCTTGATTAACTCCCTTAAATCTTAATTACATTCATGAATCATTTCATAACTACAAAAGTTGGCTATTCCGAGATGCTGAACATAAAAGTTTAATAACTTTTGGCCATGAACTACAACGATCTTCCTTGAAAGATATACATTCAGTTCCTTGCATATTAGCTAGTGGTTAAACTCAAACTACACCTGGAAAAGGTCAATCAAAGGGTATGGAAGCGACAGTTCATCTATGATTATCCTCTACATTTGTTTCATGTGAACTTCAGAGACAAGAAAAGCAAAAAATAGTGAAACGTCAAATGATATTAGGCATCCGGTAAATATAGACGGTACAATCGGAAAAGGTTGTTGTTAGAACTACACTTGACATCCTTGGACTTGCTAATACCCACCAAAATAGACCATCTACTAGTGTTGATAGGGCTAAGTAAGCGAATGCTTTGTCTTCCTTGAAGAGGTGGAGGATTTTGCTTCTTCCATGTTGGTGGTACACCCCAGACTTTCGGACGAATCTGAACCACTGTTCTCCCCACTACCGCCATGTCCGCCTTTAAAAGACCAGATCTTGGAGAAGACCTTTTTTGAAACTACCAAACCTTTCATTTTACCCATGGTGGCAGCCTTGTCAGCGTTCTCCAGTTTCAAAGCTGCCAGTTCACTCCTCAAAGCCCTGAGCTCCTCGGCAGAGCCCGCAGCATCCCAGTCTTCTTCTGTGGTGGTTGCAGAACGAGAGCTGCCATAAGATGCAGATGTGACTGGTTTGGTGGGGTGGGGGAGTTCAGGAGTGGTGCTTCCGGAAGAAGAAGTATTATGAGCGGCCCTGACTTGCTCGAAAAACAGGACCTGGACAACCACACGTGAAGGGAGTCTCTCATTTTGAATTGCATGCATGCAAGCATCTGCAGAGAGCTTCTTGCAGTCCATTAATCTACATATTCTCTTCTTCTCACTCTTATTAATCCCTGGATGTTGCTACACACAAAAAGAACACCAAATAGTGTTATTGGTAATTGGTCTGGGACGGTTATAGTACATACAGTTAGGTACTTTGGTTAATAACACCTTCATCCTTCCCCAAAATTTGGTAAAGTTACCATCCCTGAGGTTTCTAAAATTACAAACACTCCCTTCAGCAATTCAAATGATATCAAAAGAAGCCATCCCTGATCAAGCCTTAAAAGCCTAGGTTGGTGTAAGCGAGTTAGGCGTACGTGAAAAGGCAATTTAACACTTGATTCATTGCTTTAGTTTTTCTAGAGTTGCTTGTAGATGTCTTAATGTAATACTACAAAAACATAACTCAAAACATCATGTTTTTTTATTTATAAAAAAATTATACTTCAAGACTTGTAAAAACCACACATACTATACGTAGTTACTAAACAAAATTAGAGCTCGCAAAATAGTTCAAAGTATAATACTACAAACAATAATACTAGTATAGTTATAATAATTTTAAATTATTAACAATAGTATTAGTAATAGCTATACAAATACTAATTAATAATAGCAACCATAATATTATAGTAAAACTAATTAGTCATTAATGTGTAGTTTAATATTTGCACGGAATAAAGCAATAATATTTTTGTAATACAAATATAGTTCAACAGCCAATATAGGCAAGATGGAAGCCATAGGGACTATCTTCACCTGCACCTGGGTTTGAATCTCATCGCTTCCTAATTTTATGCTTAAAATTCTTTTTATTCTTCTCTTCACTTTTGTCTCAATTTCTTTTTCCAAAAGAAAAACTTGGATATTTTGAACCCACAAGATGCAATAAAAAATGATAAAATATTTAGTCCTAAATATATTCCTGATATACCATTATATTCTACTTACTCATTCACCAAAAACAAATGACTTCTAAAAGGCTATATTTGTATTTACGTGAACTCTAGTGACCGTGTTGAAATTTGATAAGATCTTCTAGGAGGTAAATGTAAACTCACTTTATAAAGTGTGACTACGGGTCAAAAGCATTGTGGTCTGGTTTTGGTCTTGGGAAAATTGGAAACTGGACAAAAACCATGAGAAGGATGGTCCCGGTTACAGTTCTAAGGATTGCTGATTACGGTCCTTGCTGTGTCCACCCCTAAGTTTAAGTAAATAGAGAGTCTTAACAAACAATCACCTTAAGGTACATGTCAATAGCTCGATATAGTCCATCATGAGCAGGTCGGGGAAAACCAGCCACCATCTCTGCCACACCAACAAATGATGATGATGTCAGATTGGGATCTTTCGCGATCTCAGCAAGGTAACCGTCTACTAACTTTGCCACCATCAGCTTCGAAGCTTCATTCAAAACCCCCACTGGCTTCTTGACATTCTGAATCTCATCACAGACCTCTGATTTGGTCCCACAGTCCTCCTCATTGGACATCATGAACTCGCTTAGTATTTTCTGGACTACATCGACATTGTACATAGGGGATGCAGTTTCCCCATCTGAGGTTCGAATCAGAAGATCATTAACAGAAGCCTCCTCCAGTTGGCGACTTATTCTTTTAATCAGTTCCTTCTTCTCCATTTCTCCTGCCTCAACCGAAATGTACGCTTTTAACAGCTTAAACAAGAAATTGGTTGAGACGCTGCCTTTCTCTGTGGGTAAAAGCAACAAAATTGCATCCAATACAGATCGATATTTGGAAGCATCAATTTCAGTACCAATATCATGATACCCTTGCAGCCTTTTTGACGCATAAGTTTTTAGAGCTTCTCCAATGACTTCATTAGGAACTAGTCCTTTTTTCTTGATATTGACAATAACCTGTTTATATAAATCAACTTCAAGCTCCGACAGATCCTCCACCCACCAATCTTTTGGCACTATTCGGCTTCTCAAACCAATTTCCTCTGATACCTTAGATCGGTTATAGGTGTACGACCAGTCAACCTTTGACACATCAGCAGATGCCTTGGAAGCTATAGAGTCAATGCAATGGCTGACCAGCTTCAGCTCCTCACACAAAGGAAAAAGAGGAGACTTCATGCTCTGAAGAGAGATTATGGAATCTTTCCAACTCCTGAAAATGCTGGAGTGGAGGAAAACATCAATCTTGTAAATAAGGTTTCCTTTTTCGGTGTTCTCATTCATTCCTAAATACTCGGAAGCACAACGGGCTGCAATCACATTGTAAGCATTCAGTGTAACGGTGACACCATAACAGAACTTGGCACATATTTCAAATGCCGCAGGCCCTCCAGGGATGTCTTCAATGTGGATTTCACTGCTTCCTTCAACAGACTTTGCGATGAGTTTTTGCAAACGAGAACTCTTGGAAAGAAGAGGGAACTGCAGAAGAAATCCATCAAGTCCATCAGGTTCATGCTATTAATAATGCACTAAATAGGTTAAAGCCCAATTCGCTTTTCTAATTATTATTTTTTAAATATTATATGAAAAATGATTAATAATAGAAAAAGTTAGAATATTGGGTAAATAAAGCGTGCAGTAGAAAAAGTGAGAATGCAATTGAAACCGTTCAACTTTAATGTTTTTAACTTCTAACTTTAAAGAACATTATTCAGATAGAAGTGCTTGATAAATGAAAATACTCTCTTAGACTTGCCCAAAATCTGTTTTAGGGAGTGTTTGCAAACACCGATAAAAGTGCTTTTAAGCTTTTGGCTTAAAAAAGATGAAGAGTGTTTTCAAGTGATAGCTTTTTGACTGAAATGTAATCCGTATGAGATTGATGCACTTAGCTTTTTCATTTAGCAATTATTTCCTTTAATTTATTTAAACATATAATTTTAGATAGTTCAGCCGAATTCAACCAAATCAGCCAAAACTTCAGTCACTTCAACAGATGCAACCACTCCATCCATTTTGAACCTTAATGAACAGGCTTCTGAATAGAATGAGATAAAAACATGTATTGTTTCGAGTATTATGGCTGGTTATCATACCTTATGCAAGTAAAACTTTATATCTCCAACGAAAATGATAATGTCAGAAGCCAACTCAGAAGCAATATACCTGCACCCAATGGTAGAAAGAAAACAAACTTAATTAATGAAATACAATACAGAATTGCTAAGAAGATTACTAACCAAAAATATCCTGAACACCATAGACTTCTATTTAATGGTTTACCTTAGCCTTTTGTAGCAAAGAAGTTAGCAAATGAAAAGATTGTAACTGTTTCAAGAAAACTAGTTAGTGTAAAGTGCTGAAACTGTGAGATGTGAAACAAGTGTGGTTTAAGTATGAATTATGCACGATTCTATCCTTAACTGAAAAAGTGCAACTATGGCCAAATATTCTTCATGTTGTTAAATAAAAAGAATCTTAATATGAAAACTCAAAACATGAAACTGAAACATAAGAAAATTAAAAATGTATTTAAAAATAATAATTACAGAGACATAGGCATATAGTTTATGGAAAAAAAGAACTTTTATGTTGAACACTTGAACCTCCAAGTAGCAGCTTCCTAAAAAGTTACATTACCGAAAACACAGCCAAGTGATTTTAGGAAGCCTCTTAATTGTAGTAAAGCTTGATGCTGCAAGCTAAGATCACAAGGTATATTTAAGATCTAGATCACTCGACACAATATCGGAAATTGCAACATTCTCTTTTGGAAGGCAAAGACACTTCCGGTTTCTCATCACAGGTAGTAATAAAAATATGGAGAAGATATTTGAGCCTGCAAAACAACTTCCAGGTCGAAAAAATAATGGCAAGAAATCTCACCTGACATTGTTTCCAGCTGAGTGAAAGCAATCAGGTTTGGATCCAAGTTTCATAAACTTCATCTTGGCTGGCAACAATGAGCTTCACCTTTGAAACTTCAAGATTTATGTTTCCATGATCTCTACTCCAATTGAATAACTTTGAATTGCCCTGCTCTCATAAGTATGGGGAGTATAATTCTTCAGCAGAAGCAATCTTTTATATGAACTTCAAGGTGGGGACTGAGGAGGGTAAAAAACAGTAACCTTCTTAAGGATCCATACCACAATTGGCACTATAAAACTTTTTGAACATATTTGTTTTGAAAATACCTGCAACAGAGAACAGCATCTTCACAGTGGGGGGCAGCAAGCATATCCCTTTTTAGTTAATTATTTTTTCTTTGCAGAGCTGGAGAAGAAAATGAATAAAGAAACAATTAGAAAATGTATAGCCATATGCCTATAAAAATATACTCCGACCAAACATCAGCTACCAGCAAGATCTAGGGGGTTAGGCAGGGAGCTCAAACAAACATTTCAGCAAACAGAAATTCGGCAATAAACAAAAAATGTTCTTCAACAGCAATGATGGAACACCAACAAAACCCAATACTTGCTATTTATAATCAACCAGGAGTAGAATAATACCTAAAAAGGTCACCTGAAATTTGGTTGAAGAAAAGTGTTTGATGAGTTGAATCTGGGTATGGGCGAGAATGGGATGATGCCTAATCCACTTCACAAAGAACCAATCAAGATCGATTTTTGCGCATAATCCAAGGAAGCGTGGGTAAAATGCTGTGCCCACCAAGAAAATGAATAGAGAAAGATATCCGCAACTGCAAGAAGCCAAAGATGGCTGCTTTGTACTTGAAGTTTAGCTATAATCAGCACTTCACCCAGTTTAGAGTGACACAGTTTTACAATGTCTCTTTTCCCGTTCTGTAAATTTCTCACATCAGAAAGAGAGAGAGCGAGGGATGAGGGGGAAAGAGAGACAACCCACCCAAATAGTTGTGTTATATGCACGCCAAACTGACACTAATCAGCTTTCTTGTTTCCCCCTTCTTTAAACGGGGATTGGTAAAGCTGAGGTTTTTATTTTTTAATCTTTTCTTTTCCAACATGGTCCCTGGGCAATTCCTCTTTTCTGTGTACCATAAAATGGCTTGTCAGTCAATTCACTTTCCCCCTGCCCATTTTATCTCTTTTCCCTAACGTTTTTCTGGCTTGGAATCATTCCACTTCATCTCCTTGTGCTTCTAGCCTTCTAGTAGTATTATTACCAGGATCGAATCTCATCATTGCCCACAAATTTCATTTCAAACACTTGTTGTACTTCGCCCTCTTCTTTTCTGCATTTGTCATAATTCATGTTTGACCCCTTCATTATCACTTGTCTCTGAAGTAGACTTTGAGCCCATGTTTTGTTCAATCCAGAGGGAAAGACTGAAGAGGATGACCAATTCGTTAGTGCTATTGCCTATTGGTTGAGATATAGGCTCCCTTTTGATTTTTGAATCGGGGTTGCAATGAAAAAAGCTCTTTTCACCCTTCATAATCACAACAAACGTAATGGATTACAGCATTAGGTATGTTAATTCAGGTCTAGTACTCTAGTGGATCTTCTGGCGAAGTCAGGAATACTCAGCTTAAGGTTTCAGTTTTTTTTACTGAAGGATTGTTTGAATTTGCTTCTAATTAATTTGTTAAAATTATATGAAAATGATTAATAATAGTAAAAATTAGATTATTTGGTAAATAAAGCGTGCAGTAGAAAGTGAGAATGCAATTTAAAGCATTCAACCTTAATGCTTTTAACTTTGAAAAAAAACCTTAATGCTTTTAAATTTCAACTTTAAAGAACTTAATTCAAATAGAAGTGCTTAATCAATGAAAATACTCCCTTAAACTTGCCCAAAATCTGATTTAGAGAGTGTTTGCAAATACCTAAAAAGTGCTTTTAAGCTTTTGGTTTAAAAAATGAAAGGAATGTTTTAAACACTTAAAAGCTAACTAAAAGTTGTTTTTAAAACAGGTGGAGCGGTACTTCGAACTAATTTTTGTTTTTCTATTACACAAACACACCATTTGACACTATCAATTTTTACTTTTCTAACAACACTTATTTCAAACACTATAAAAAAGAGTGATACCTCATTTCTTATGGTCCCCAGAATCGACTGGACAAATGACGATGTAAATTGAACTTTGATCACACTCAAATAGAAAGAGACTGGAGTTTCATCCCAAGTCAATGTTTGTTCTCAAACACTGTCATTTTTTACTGTTAAGTACTTTCTCTAAACCATTTTAGTCACATTTTTAAAATTGAAGCAATCATAAACGCTCCTTACAACAATGTAAAAAATTATTACAATGGTCCACACGGCATTGGAGACAAAAAAAAATATTCTTTTTAGATTTACACGATATTTTTTTTACTTCTGTGTGATAACTTTTCAAACTTTGATTTTTGGTGATAAAAAACTTTGGTTTTTTAAAGTGCAACTTTCAAAAGTACTCCGTACATTTCAAAAGGGTTGCTAGTGTAAAGTTTTTAAATTTTCTTGCGTGATATTCTTTCTACATTTATAACACTTACGAAGTATTTCGCACACTAAAAGGAATATAGAAGAAAAGTTTTATGGGAGAACCAGTTGTATGAAACTATGAAATACAAATAAAATTATTGTCCAAAGAGATAAGAGGTTAATAAACACAAATAAAATAAAATGATAATTACATGAGTAGGGGATAAGGGAGGGAAGATTTATGATTAGGACAAGAAAGGAATAATTTTTTGGCATCTATTCGGAATAATTTCTCTATTAATAAACCTTTTTGGGTACCAAACTAGAATTCCAAGATAGAAAAAGATAAGAGGCAACACCTACCAAACATCGGATAGTTTTTTCTTTGACCACAACACAATCGGGTGAATCGAACTATGAATGTGGTGGGGTACAATTATAAAGGGACAATTGTTTGAACGATTTATGAGAACTTGGGAAGAATTAATACGAAGTAACAATTAGTGATAGTAATAACACATCTATAGACTATAGTTGATGGTTTGAATTAAAACAATGATGACAAAAAGGATGCTTAAAATAAAATTATTGTAACACATCTATTTTTTTCTTTGAAATAATTGTGACACATCTATCGAAAAGCTATTTATTTACTCCGTATAACAAGATAATCTTCAAGAAAAAATATTATTTAAATCAATTGACAATAAAATTCTATATAACAAGGAGAAGACACCGTTTTAATGTTTTGAAATGAGCTTTCTATTCACTTCTCACGCAAAGGACACACATTTCATAGCTACTGTACTTGAATAACATGTAAGAACTTGAATAAAAGAAAAGAGGGGGAAACATATGGAGCAAAGAAAATCCGTTATTTCTTTGATTCTTCCCTTTCTTCTTTCAATCAAACATAATAATAATAATGTCATTAAAATGATATTCTATAGTTTTGTAGTGGTGGAGAAGGGGAATTAGAGTTTAATTCTCTGATATAGACTATAGAGGATCCTATCAGAATGTATCTAAATAAAAGCCGGTCAAATAATGAACTAATAGCATTATTATGACAGCTCACTAACAAATCAAGTAGCTCGTGAGCAACTCGTGAGCCTTTAAATCAAAACATGACTCAAGTTCGGTCAAACTCGAACTCGAGCCGGTTCGTTAAGCAACTGAGATGAATTCGAACTCAATTCATTTTAACTTGTAGCTCGCGAGCCATAACATTATAGATATACACACATTGTATTATTTGTGCTCATTTATTTATACATGCATGTCAAAATTTAATTGAGAGTGAAATAATGAGTAATGATGTCAGTGAAGGAAAGAGGAACTAATATAAATGAGAACAATAAAGTACAAATATTATATACGGAGTATATTTTTTATGCACAAATATAATATTAATCAATAACTTTGAATATAAAAATTTGGGAAAAGGTGCAAATAAGCCCTCGAACTAACCGAAAAAGTGCAAATAAGCCCTTTTATAGGAAGCTCTGTCCGGTCGTCGCCATTTGGGGCGGTTCCAGGTAAAGTTTTTTTATGAATTTTTTTGAGCATCTGCTTCACTAAGTCTAGTTTACCCATACCGAATTTTAGCTAAAAATTTAACCGGGAAGGCAGCCAAATGATTTTCTGAATTATACTGCGCTGTTTAACTACTCAATTATCTTCAAACATTTATTTGACTGTCTTTCCAGTTGAACTTTTAGCTGAAATTTGGTATGGGTAAACTAGACTTAATGACGAAGATGCTAAAAAAATTCATCAAAATATTCCACTGGGAACCGTCTCAAATGGAGACGGCCGGACAAAGCTTCCTATAAAAGGGCTTATTTGCACTTTTTCGGTAAGTTCGGGGGCTTATTTGCCCCTTTTCCCTAAAAATTTTATTGATAGCTCGAGTTCAAATATCTTATTCGAGTTCAAACCTATAAAAATTAATTAGTCAAACTCGAGTTGAGCATAACTGCATGAGTTCGAACCAAAATTATTAGGCTTCTTCCGGCTCCAGCTCGAGTCAATTATTAAGTTCAAACTCAATCATGGTTAAGTTTGAACTCGGCTCGGCTCATTTAGACCCTAACTCACACTTGGCCATCAAACAAAATATGTACACAGTCCACTATCACAATGTACACAGCGATTATATAGCGTAAATACTTCAACGAGCTGAGGCATCGTATTCCTGTATCTCAAATATTCACATATTTTTATGTTTCGTAATGTAGCATATTTCTCAACAGTTTGAAGGCGTGTTTGTGGAACTTAAAAAAAACGATAGTATCGAGGGAACATTTTTTGTGAAAATTTTGATCGACTAAATTAAGTTACTATACGTATACCTACGACATTCATTAGCATAGTTATGTAAAATTGACCATAATAATAATTATAATTAAAAGTCACTAGTTCTAGTTCTATGGTCAGTTTATAAAAAAATTACATCAACCAACGGGGAGAAATCAAGAGAAGGGTGACACCTTTCGTGAAGAATTGTATATGGCCGAGAATCAAAGAATGGTGACCAGGAAGAATTTGCAGATGGCGAGAAGATGAGTTGTGGATGGTAAAAGTACCACTTGATCGACCGCCACGGTTGATAGTTTGTCACATGGATTGTACTATCGTATTAAACTCTCAGCTGAATAGAAACACTCCGAAAATAACATGTTTACTTCACAAGTTATTAAATACGTAGTAGTGTTTGTTAAAACTTGTGTTAGGATGTTTTGTTTGGATTGAAATTTACGGGTCTAGTGTGATCTGGTCGGATAATGTCCGGTCTCTGTGTATTTTATAACTATGAAAGTCTGATCAGATATGGTCTGGTCTGGTCTGTTCTGATCTGGTCTAATCTGGGATTGAAAATATAATTGTCCAAAAGAAAACATTCTTAATAAGCGGCGCCTAAAATAAGAGCGATATAAACTCATGTTTATTTCACATGATTTAAAAAATGACCTTACCCATATACAAAAGAGCATCGGGGTAAGGGTAATGAGGGGTTGGGGACAGGTAGGGTAGGGGTGGGGTAGGTAAGGGTAAGGTATGGTGGGGGTAGGAGTTAGGGGTGCGGGGGTAAGGGTAAGGGGTAACAGCGTACGGGGACAGGGAACAGTTTGTGGTAGGCTCGAGATAGGTGGCAGAGGGTAAGGTGTACAGGTACGAGAAATGGTAGGAGAGCCGGGGTGGGGGTTAGGGGTATGGGGACTGGTAGGGGTAGGGGTGGTTGGGTGGGGGTATGCAGGGTTAGTGCGGGGTAGTGGTAGGGGTAGGGCCATAGGGGTAAAGGGTAAGGGTAAGCTAAGGATAAATGCGGAAACACAAAAAGCTTAAATTGTTGTTTAATTAATACATGAGGGTGGTATACTTAGTAAGCGACAATTAAAACATTTGTTATGATTAGTAAACAGCTCTTTGAACAGCATGTGTGTCTACTTCACCTGTCTTACTAACCTAACTATACTTTTAGCAGCGATGTAAA